CAGATATATCTCTGGGGCTTAGGGAGTGAGGTGGAGTTCTTACTGGCTCCTCTGAGTGCAGTGTCTCTTCTAGGATGACTCAGAATTCAGTATCTCCACAGGACAGGAGCAGACCAATTCTGTGTCTGCCCCAGCCCAAAGGACCAGGCAGGAGTGGAAGGGAAGTGAAATTCCGGAGGGGCGGTGTTTGGGTAGCTGCTGTGTCCTGAATGTCCCTGGCTTCCAGATGTATCTCTGGGGCTTAGGGAGTGAGATGGAGTTCTTACTGGCTGCTCTGAGTGCAGTGGCTCTTCTAGGATGACTTAGAATTCAGTATCTCCACAGGACAGGAGCAGATCGATTCTGTGTCTGCCCCAGCCCAAAGACCAGGCAGGGGCGGAAGGGCTCATCTATGCTCCTTAATCTCCCTCCCTAAACCCATCCCAAACTCCTCAGATGGGCTCCTTGTTTCCATCTTTCTTTGCTAGCTCTAGCCACCGAAGCCCTTACCCTTCTTTAGAACTTTAGCAAGAGACCATACACACCTCCATGGACTCAGGAATTGACAAACACTGGACTTGAATCTGATTCCTGTGATCACTAAATATGTGACCTTCAATGAGCAGTTGGCTAACTTTCCTAGCATTGGTGACCCAGAGGTCTTAAATGTGAGTATTCTTTAGACTCACCAGGAGAACGTTCTAAATTCCTTCTCACTCCCAGGTTGGCACCTGGGTATAACTAACTCCTTTAAAATTTACTTTGATTTTAGGTACTCATAGAGACCAGAAGAGGATGTCAGATCTACTGGATCTAGAGTAACACATGGTTATGAGCCCCCAGTGTGGGTGCTGGGAATGCACCTCTGATCCTCTTCCAGATCAACAAAGGCTCTTAACTGTTGGACCATCTCATAGCCCTTGAAATTTCATTTCTACCAAGTTGCACTGTACACTATGATACTGTACATCTTCCATACTTGAGCCACATGAGTTTTATAAAATTGTAGAGATAATGAAAGGAAGTAATATTCAAAAAATGTTTATTTAGTAACTACTACATAAAATTCAGTCTTTTCTTTTCCTCCATGAAACAGGACAAAATATGATACATTAAAAAGAAAAAGGCAGCAGAGTGATCCTGGTTTTATTTCAGTCTATTTCAAACATAAAGGGAGAATACCATATTGTAGCATTTCTCACTTAGAGAGAAGTGCTCAGATGGTGTGGGTATTGGCCTTACCATGGCTTTCCTAGCACCTGATATAAAGGCGTTCCATTTTAGAAAAGAGCTCAGACATATGTATTACCACACACACAGTCTTTTTATATTACCCACTATTTTTTAACACACTCCTACACATGGAATGGGATGTATCAAGACTCTATGGAGGTTATCCAACATAATGTTTTCCCATCTTCTGTGTTTGTAGCTATCCATGCTCAAGCTGAGAAGCTAAGAATCCTGACCAGAGAGTGAGACACATGTTTGCCTTAGAAGAAAAGAACCAGATATAGAAGGAAGAAATTGTGTTTATGACATATTTGGCTGTAGGAAAACTGAATGCACTGTATTTTGTATGTGTTCCATCCAGTGGAGTATATAAATTGTCAGCATTTAAAAAGGATTAAAAGGAAATATACTTAGGATACAATAGCAAAGCCCAGGAGCAATAAGCCCTGATTCCATAATTAGCTTTGCAGTCTTCATATAATGCCCATCTCTGGGACTGGGACTGGATTATATCCAAGGACCTCCCTCAAATTATATTGCTGTATGAGTGTAGTACACAGGGAATGAGACTTGTAGTACCCAAAATTTTCCTGGCATTCTGAAAAGCTGTGCAGAAATCAGTGACTGTCAGTCTTGATAAAATTTATTAGCAGTACTGGGGGAGGAGCGTGTACCATGGATGTATGCACACGTATGCAGATGCCTGTGAACAAGTGTAGAGCGGGAGGAGGATGTCAACTATCCTCCTGTATCATTCTCTACCTTATCCTTTGAGGCACATTCTTTTTCTTGAACCTGGAAGTAATTGTGGTTTTGTTATTTTTGCTGCTGCTGCTGTTCTAACTATGCTGGCAATAGAATAGCTCCAGGAAGCTTCCGTCTCTAGTTCCTATAGCACTAGGGTTACAGGTAGTCATGTGTTACCATGCCTTGTTTGTTACATTAATGTTGGGATCTTAACTCAGATCCCCATGTTTATAAAGAAAGCACTCTTAACCAGTGAGACATCTCTCTAGCCATAAAATGATGTTTCAAGGGCAGACATTAAATGGCTCATAGGAAACTAACCTTAGAAATTTGTAGACATCCTTTCACAAGGCCTGTAATGGCTCACTGAGAATCATCTTAAGATTTTGCTACTTTGTGCCTTTTTCCCTGAAGACTTCTATGGCCTTCCCATATTTGATATCTTTCCCAAATGACTAGCACTAAATTTGTAAGAGATATAGTTGGAAACAAAATAAGAAAATCCAGAATGTGTAGGTGGGCCCCACTTCACTGTGAAGGAGAAAAGGGACATATAATACAAGGATAGAAGTCTTAGTATCTGCTGTCAAAGAGAAGACTCTCAGGCCTCCATGGTCTTGTTAGCCAGGGGCCTAGGTCATCCCCTGCTGTGCCGAGCTGGCAGGTTCACACTAGCTGGCTAACACATTCATACATAAAAAATGGAACAAGCTTCCTGTTTGAAATAGGGAGGGAGCTCCAGAGACCCCTGTATCTACTTCCCCAAACACTGAGGTTTTTCTTACCATGCCTGATCTCTGACAAATTGCCCCTTTATTTATTATGCGTCTATACCACATATTTTCCCTCCTCACATCTCCTACTGTTACTAGTTTGCATGTACATGAACTTCCATTATAGCATTTATCTTTATTTAAAACTTAAAAGAAAACACAAAACTCAGGAAACACTTGCCTTTGTAACCCCTCACCCTGCCTCCCAGATTTCAAACAAAAGCAAATAAAATCAGTAAGAAAGTGACTGCAATTCAAGTGAAATATACCATTTACCAGGTAAAGCAAATACATTTCTTATTATGCAATAATACAAAATAATATATGTAATAAAATTACTCAAGATTACAATTACACAAAGTAAAGTACAGGGCTGATGGCAATGACTTTCTTGTAATCAAAAATAATGAAACCTTCCATGATTGTATGTTAAGATATCCCTGTATCGATCTGTAATACATAAAATCCTGCACCAGATGATGAATTTGAGAGTTTCTCCATTTCCACGAATATATACTTAGTATGGTGTCCATTTCCTGTAATAGCTTTGATTTGGAAACCTCTAAATTAACACATTTTAATGAAGCACACATTTTATTACCCACTTTCCCAGTTGTTCACATGGCAAAAAAGCACAAGTATCAAGAAATCTGTGTGATGTGTTGGGGATCCCATGTGCAATGGTATCAGAAATGCGTGCTAATGTTTCATCTAATTATAGGAGTCATTTCCATCATTAGCATAGATCACATTCTACACTGCTGATTCCCATGTTCTACAGTAAAGGCACCTGATGATTTTTCATCTCTCCTAGGCCTGGGAGAAATCACCATCTCCCTAACTCCCCTAGCTGCGGCAACATTTTCCTTAACTCATGTTTCTAGCCAAATCTGATGATGTTCCTTTTCAATTCTCACATAGAACATGAAACCAAAATCAGCGAGCACAAAAGCCTTCATTGTGATAATTCAGGTCCATATCCCTATCTATGTGAAAGCCATGTGCCTTCTCTGTATGACCTGGAAGCTGAAGCATGTCAACCAACCTAAGACAAGGTAGATTGAAAGACAAATCATCAATTACTTGCTTCTCAGGAAATACATGTTGCCAAAAAAAAAAAAAACCCTATCATGTGCTGTTAGTTATAAAATGCATCCTAGTTCTGGAGATTTTAAATGCAAAATCAAATTATTTTGGTTTGTTAACACTTACAAGCCATATTCTGTTTCTTGGCTATTCTGTGACAATATCTCCTATCAGCTTTTGTCTACTTTCAACTTAGATAGGCATGATTTCACCTCATCCTATAAGAAATAATTCAATCACCCATGCAAATTTTCTCCATTTCATTCCTCATTCTCACAGTGGTGTGAACTTACTAGTATCACATATCCTTACTGGTATACTTGTCACAAAGCAGAGTACATATCAGTTTATAGCAATGGCTAATTAGTAGCCAAAGACCTTTAATACCAACACATAGGTATCCACTTAACAAATTCTATTTACCCATATGCTCATTAATATCTCAAAAGGGATAAGTAGAATTAGAAGAATGAAGGAGGTATGTACTACAGAAGAAGCACATCAAAATATTGCTGTAACTCAGCATCCATTCTGTTTAACTTTTTGATATAAAATCTAGAACCTTCTACCATAAGAGGAGCCAAATCCCAAGAAAGAAGAAGCTAGAAACTGAGCATCACATTGGATCTCTGAGTTGTAGAATAAAAGTACTGGTTCTCAATGAGCTTAGTGTCTGGGCTATTTAGAATGAGAGAAACAGTGGATGGGGTTGGTAGCAGCTAGGACCAGCCATCCCCAGGTGAGGACATCCACAGTGATCACAGCCAAACTCTTAGCTGTAGATTTCCTGAAGTTTTTAACATTATGGGAAGGATACTCACAGCAAGCAAGGAATGAAATAGTTTAGGGAGAGCAATTTCTCCCTCTTTTATGCTTTACTCTTAACTTCAAAGTAATCAAATATTGTTTATGCATAAAATTTTAATCCTTTCACAAATTTGTATTTTGATTTAATTTGCATATTTCATTTACTGCAAGTCAATATGATGAGAGAGTCAACTAATTTAAACAGTTTTTTTTTTCTGGGCCTGAAATCCTTTCAGAAATATTTTCTATTAGGCAACTCAATTATATCTAATGTGGCTACTGTCTGCAGATTAGAATTTTGCTTACAGAAACTCATATTCAGAACAGTGAGAATGGGAAGGGGTGGAGGAACAGAGGAGACAAGACAATAATTACCTGTCTTTGATGCTACACAGATCAATGTGTAAATCACTAAAACTCCCCAGGGAACCTTGCTGAACTGAAATGAGGTCCTTGGGCTGGTTATCAATAAAGATGAGCCTCATGCAGCCTTGGAAAGCCTTAATGGGGTTTAAGCATTGGGAATCGGTGAGATTGTCGGGGCACCCTGTGGGACAGAGAGAAAAGATGAAGAGCACTGAAATGATAGGACATTGATTTGGCAACCTATTGATGGAAGACCTTGAGGTCTAATTATCTTGGGACTTTTTTCTTCATAGCAGAACATACTTTTGTTGTAAGTTGGAGCTCAGGAAGAGATGCAAAAATGATGCAAAATGGAGATGCTCAGTCACTATAAAGGAAAAAAGTGCCAAAGGGAACATCATTGGTATGACATCTACTTTAATCCCCATTGTGTGTGTGAACATGTGTATGTGTGTGCATGCGTGTGTGTGTGTGTGTGTGTGTGTGTATGCGTCTGTGCATGAGCACGTGCATGCATATACATGTGTTTGTCTCTTTGTGTGTGTGGTGCATGCCTAAAAATGCACTGTTTTATGTGGTTACATATAGAAGCCAAAGGTTAGAATCAAGACATCTTTCTCTGCCACTTCCATTTTATTCTTTGAGATAAGGTCTCTTTGTGAACCAGGAGTTTACCAATATACCTAGACTGACTGGTCATGAGGTCCAGGACTCTGCTTTCACCTATCACTTATCACTTTGTATGTCATGGCCACTTCATCCATATGGAAGTTTTATGACTTATATAGGCTGGGTTGTCAGTGACCCTCAGGAGCCTGCTTAACTCAGCCTCACCAGCACTGAAACTCAAGGAGCTCAACACCATGCCCAGTATTTTTTATGGGTACTGGGAATCCATCCTCATTTTCTCGTGCTTGCATGGCAAGCATTCTAACAACTGAGTCAGCTACACTCTCTCTTTCTCTCCCTCCCTCCCTCCCTCCCTCCCTCCCTCCCTCCCTCCCTCCCT